ATAGGGTATATGTGCTCATGAAAGACAAACAGAGAGAGAGGGAAAGTGAGAAAGCAAGCTGCCAGGTCCAGGACTCGAACCACAGTTGCCCAAGTGGGAGGAGCACATATTATAGATACTACAAATAACAAATTGTGACTTTTTTTTTTTTTTTTGAGAGATTTTCACTGTAGGGCGCGTGCGCTCGCCAGACAGACAGAGAGAGACATAGAGATAGAAAGCGAGAAATCACCCCCCAGGGGGGATGGTCACGCCGCAATCCCTTCTCCTCCCTTCTCCTCTCGGGATCTTGGGCACGCACGCACACGCGCCCGGCGTGAGTTTTAAGCCACCGGGTCCGGGACACGAACCGCGGTCGACTACGTGGGAGTCCAGCGACATAGCCATTACGCTAACTGCTGGTTCCCCAAATTGTGACTTTTAATAAATATTCTCAAGAATATTGTGTGCACCCTTCCTAGAAAGATGAATTTCCTCTTATCAGAGAAACAGAATAAGTAACGCTTGCAAAATTGCAGTGGACGTCTCTCTTTAGAAATTGAGCCAGCTTGCTATTAGACGCCACTCTTAAAGAAGAGAGGGGAACTGGGATAGTGGTCAAGACAGTTGGATCCCACACGGCCAACTGTGATCAAGCAGAGACTAAGAGATTAAGGAACTTGCCTAAGGGTGCCCAAGGAACAACTGAGAAAGTCCACCTCACCTGCACGTTTCTTTGACTTCTGAAGCAAAGCCTAACCTCTAAGCTGGTGGTTTTCAGACTTGAACAGAACGTATATGCGAATCCCCTAGAAGGCACATCAAAATAGATCGCCAGGCCTCTCCTCCAGCATGTCTTATTCAGCAGGTCTGGGGGGGAGCCCTAAGAATTAGCATTTCTTTTTTTTTTTTTTTTGGAGAGGTTTTTGCTATAGGGCACGTGCGCTTGCCAGACAGAGAGAGAGACAGAGAGACAGAAAGCGAGAAATCACCCCCCAAGGGGGATGGTCACGCTGCAATCCCTTCTCCTCCATTCTTCTCTTGGGATCTTGGGCACGCACGCACACGCGCCCAGCGTGAGTTTTAAGCCACCGGGTCCGGAACGCGAACCGTGGTCGACTACGTGGGAGTCCAGCGACATAGCCATTACGCTAACTGCTGGTTCCCAAGAATTAGCATTTCTAAAAGTTCCCAGGTGGTGCTGATACTGCAGTCCAGGGACCACACTTTGAGAACCACTGCTCCAAACTATAATGCCTCTCGTTATTCTCATGTAAACTCAGAGGCCATAAGACCAGTTTCAATTCCACCCGCCATAGCTATAAACAAAGGTGCCATCTGCAGACACCATGTGATCACCGTGAGTCACGTGATGGTTGTCTTGAGTCGGAAGTTGGCCCAACCGTTACCAGTGTAGAGAAACACACACAATCCAGGCTCTCCCACACTCACCTATCAGAGGGACGTTTTCGGAGGCCGGCATGATCTCTGCCACCATCAGCTGAAACACGGTCATGGCCAACAGGATGGTCACTCCCAGGGACACCTTTTCCCCAGAGGCTGCTGGGAGATAAAAACTCAGGGGAGCTAGAAAAGAGATGAGGACGCAGGGAACGAGGAGGTTGACGATGTAGAACGAGGACCGCCTCTTCAGGAGGAGCGTGAAGGTCACATCTGGGTAGGGCTCGGAGCAGCAGCCGTAGGAGATCACGTTCTTGGCCGCGGGCATGCCGTGCACCTCCCACTCCACATCTTCGATGAAGTCGGACAGGTCCCCGCTGTCCAGGGCGTTGAATATGTCCACCTGGTTGCCGTTGTAGGTCCAGGATCCGAAGGTCAGGTTGCATTGCTGGTGATCGAAGGGGAAGTAGGTGACATCCACCACACAGGAGCTCTTGGTGATGGCCGGGGCGTCCCAGGTGATCAGCCCGTCGTACCTCAGCACCACGTTGGTGTTCACGGGCTCCGAAGCGTCATCATCAGCCCTGGAGGGCAGATGGGGGAAGGAAACCACTTGCCGGGGAACTCACCAGCTTCCGTACCCCACGTGACTCACTGCCCTGGCTCCGTCACTTCAGCATCTTTGTCAATGGATCCTTGCTTTCCCTGTCACTCCGGCTTGAGAGTTCAGAGTCAACTCTAATTGGCCCTCCCCTCCACCTCCTGCACCTGGTCAAGGTCAAATTCTCCTGGATTCTTCCTCTAAAGCCTCTCCACTCTCTGTCCCTTTCTACCCATTCCCAGTGACACTCTCCTGGTCCAAGTGTAATCATTTGAAAATCTTGAAAAAAAATTAAACTTTGGGGATTAGAATGTGGACACTGTACAGTGGGACCAGCAGTTAGCGTAATGGCTATGTTGCTGGACTCCCACGTAGTTGACCGTGATTCGAGTCCTGGACCCAGTGGCTTAAACTCATGCCGGGCACGTGTGCGTGCGTGCCCAAGGTCCCGAGAGGAGAATGGAGGAGAAGGGATTGCGGTGTGGCCATCCCCCCGGGGGGTGATTTCTCGCTTTCTGTCTCTCTGTCTCTCTCTGTCTTTCTGGGGAGCACATGCACCCTATAGCAAAAACCTCTCCAAAAAAAAAAAGAAAAAATTTGCAATTTCTCTCCTGAAAAGAGGGCACATAGGTTGAGTTGATGGTCTCCTTCTAGCTCGAAGGTTGTAGATTTTATTTTGTTATGTAAGATTTTGTGACCATCACTTCAGGACCAAAGATCATGACTACTTAACTCATGACCATGCGTTACACGTTTCTTTCTCATTGTGGTCTCTTTTTATTTTTAGTTTATTTCTTACATGAGTGAGAGAGACCAACAGAAAGAGACAGAGACAGCATCTCTGACAAGGCCTTTGTTTTTGTTTTTGTTTTTGTTTTCAGAGAGAGATTTTTTGCTATAGTGTCCGTGTGTTTGCCAGAGAGACAGAGAGACAGAAGGCAAGAAATCACTTCCCAGGGGGATGGCCAGGCCACAATCCCTTCTCCTCCATTCTCCTCTTAGGATCTGGGGCATGCACGCACACGTGCCCAACATGAGTTTTAAGTGACCGGGTCCGGGACTAGAACCATGATCAACCATGTGAAGTCCAATGACATAACCATTACATCATCTTCTGGTCCTCCCAACAGGGTCTTGATGCCATGATCCACTCCCAGCCTCAGCCAGCCCCAGATCATGGGCATGCGTGCAGGGTCGTGGTTGTCACTGCGCCTCTGTGGGCCCCTGCAAAGCCTCCATCCCGGCCACACTCACTTGTTGTACAGCACGATATCCGGCCTCCACACCAGGTCGCTGGGGATCCTGATGGAGTCCAGCCCGTCGTACTGGTCTCGATCCCACGTGAGGAACGCGTCGTACCAGATTTGGCGGATCCACAGGTAGGCCGTCAGAATTTGGTTTCTTTCATCCTGCGCAAAGTGAACCCGGTGGAGCTTTACCCAGCAACTTCAGGTGCTTTTCGTCTGCAGGACGCCTTCTTCCCTACAGCCATTTTTTTTTTTTTTTGGAGAGGTTTTTGCTATAGGGTGCATGTGCTCCCCAGAAAGACAGAGAGAGACAGAGACAGAAAGCGAGAAATCAACCCCCAGGGGAGATGGCCACGCCACAATCCCTTCTCCTCCATTCTCCTCTTGGGATCTTGGGCATGCACGCACATGTACCCTGCATGAGTTTAAGTCATCGGGTCCAGGACTTGAACCACGGTCAGTTACATGGCAGTACAGCGACATAGCCATTACGCCAACGGCTGGTCCCTAAATATGTCATCTTAAAACAACACCTTTCTAGTTTTTTTTTTTTTTCCTAATTGAGATTAAATTCAGAAAACGTAAAACTTGCCATTTGAACCATTTTAGAAGTATATAATTTAGGGACCAGCAGTTAGCGTAATGGCTATATCACTGGACTCCCACGTAGTCGACTGTGGTTCGCGTCCCGGACCCAGTAGCTTAAAACTCACGCCGGGGCGTGTGCATACGTGCCCAAGATCCTGAGAGGAGTACAGAGGAGAAGGGATTGCAGCGTGACCATCCCCCCTGGGGGGTGATTTCTCACTTCCTGTCTCTCTGTCTCTGTCTGGCGAGCGCATGCGCCCTATAGCAAAAACCTCTCAAAAAAAAAGTATATAATTTAGTTGGTTCTAATACATTCAAAATTGTGCAACCATCCCCACCACCTAGTTCGAGAACACTTTTGTCTCCCTCTAAAAGAAACCCATAACCACTGGGCATCATGGCCATCTTCCCCCTCCACCCTCTACCCCCCACCCCAGGCCCCAGACTTAGGCAACCACTACCCACCCTGCTTCCTGTCTATGGAAGGGCATTTCATATAAATGGAGTCATACAATATGTATTGCCACCTATCTTTAGATGATCTAAGCGTGTCACAGTGACAAGGATTAGGTAACAGGGAGTGAAATGAATTAGTCAGTAGAAAGTGCCCTCCTCTGGCGCTCTCCCCACAGCCTGTACACAAAGCTACCTGCCCCTTCCTTCCCAAGGGCCCGGTGAACACTCCCCCTTTGGAAACCCAGGCCGCTTTCTTTCCCAGATCCACTCCAAAGAGCCCCCGCTGCTTGTCACTCACCATATCTTTAATCTGCGAAAGTGTGACCTGCAGCGTGACGTTCAGGACTTTATCTGTATCTTCCACTGGACGAAGCGCGTTGGAATAATCTTCAAAAAGGTCATGAAACAACTTCTGAGCGTATTTTCCATCTGCTGTTTCTACAGCTGCCCCAAAAGAGGACATGGATGAACACTCAAAGGATCGTGTGTGTTTCAAGACAAAGTATGACAGGCTGAGGTCTCAAAGTGGGGTCGGCTCCCCACAAGTTCCCCCCCCCCAGAGGTTTTTCGCTATAGGGCACGTGTGCTCGCCAGACAGACAGAGAGAGACATAGAGACAGAAAGTGAGAAATCACCCCCCGGGGGGGATGGTCACGTCGCAATCCCTTCTCCTCCATTCTCCTCTCGGGATCTTGGGCACACACGCACACATGCCTGGTGTGTTTTAAGCCACCGGGTCCGGGACACGAACCGCGGTCAACTAGGTGGGAGTCCAGCGACATAGCCATTACGCTAACTGCTGGCTCCCGGCTCCCCACAAGTTTTGGGGAGGGCTGGCTGGTCCTTTATCCCATGCAGGCGCACCATACCTGGCTGAGCTAGAGTCAGTAGGAACCGATCCATCTTCCATGTGGTTAGATACCTATCAGGCCTCTCCGCCTGGCTCACCTCCCACCCAAGAAATGGCCCCAGAGGAGCTGGGGTGGTCACACACCACCAGCCTCTCACCTCTCAGTCTGGAAGCAGCAAAGTAAATCCAGCAAAGGGAGATGCAGGAATGGGGCCAGTTCATCTTTTCTCCGAAGCTCTGCAGACCCCCAGCCAGGTAGCGTGGTCTTCCGCTCCCCTCTGCGAATGGGAAGGGTCTGGGTGCAAACAGCCCACCCAGCGGCCTCACCACAGCAGGTGGAGGGGCAGGCTTGCCCTGATCTCTGTAGCCAGGGCTCTGAGACCCGGATGCCCTCCCTCCCTTCAGTAACCTGAGACTGGACCAGCAGCTCCAGTAGCTGAAGTGCCAGGCTGGAGCCCAGGGAGGGTTACAGCCACCCCACTCTCTGGGGAGCTATCCCAGTTGAGGGTCCCTAGAAGGAACATCCAGACTTGAGGAGAAGGTAGGCACAGGGTCAGGTATGCCTGACATCCCAGAGGCTTCATACCTGCGACCAGCACAGTCGGCCTGTCCAGGGCCTGAGGGACAGTAAATTGACCCAGCCACGGGCAGCCAGCCAGCTGCAAAGGCCCTGTCTGCTTCTAGCGGCATTTGAAGAGAGAGAGCCATTTCTACGGTCTTCAGGACATGTGGCATGTGGGTGCTTCTCCCCCTCTGCTTTGACCAGGGCTTCAGTGGTCCCACTGGGCACGGGCCTTGCACACAGTGTGTGTATGACACAGGAGGAGTAGGATGGGGGAGGGGCACTCATCCCCTTTTGAAGGAGCACCACGAACTGAATTTGGAGCAGAATGCCTGGCTTTGACCGCCATCCCAGTCTCTTAACCGAGGCTCTGTAATTCTGGACGGGTAACCGAACCCCTCTGAGCCTTCCTGAAGTATAGGCCAGGGGTGGGGGGACCATGGTCCTGCTTGCCCAGGCTGCTGGGGTACTGTATGAGATAGCACCTGGTAGATGTTAGTGGTTCACCTCTGATCAGCTTTGCAGATCTCGAATTCCTGCATTCACCAAATAGCCAGGGTTTACCAGCTCTTAAAAACCAGTTTCCGAGCCAGCAGGTGGTGTGGTGGTAGGCTACTTGGCCTACCACAGTTTGAGTCCTGGACCTGGAGGCTTCTCTTGTCGCTTTCCCTCTCTCCCTCTGATCAAATTGAAAAAAATAATAATGATGAATAAAATTAAATAAAATATAAAAAAAAAAAAAAACTTAGAAGTTTGGCAGGTGGCGTGGTGGTTAAAGCACTGGACTCCCACATGACTGACCACAGTTTGAGTCCCAGACCTGGCAGCTTGCTTTCTCACTTTCTCTTTCTGTCTCTCTTTAGTCAAATTAAATAATAGTAATAGTAATAATAATAATAAAAAATAATAATTCTTTTTTTTTCTTTTTTTGGAGAGGTTTTTGCTATAGGGCACATGCGCTCGCCAGAAAGACAGAGAGAGACAGAAAGACAGAAAGCAAAAAATCACCCCCCGGGGGGGATGGCCACGCCGCAATCCCTTCTCCTCCATTCTCCTTTCGGGATCTTGGGCACACACGCACACGCACCCGGCGTGAGTTTAAGCCACCGGGTTCGGGACTCAAACCGCGGTCGACTACAAGGGAGTCCACTGACATAGCCATTATGCCAACTGCTGGTCTCAATAATTCTTTTTAAAAAAAAAGCTTCAAAAGCTACCCGAATCAGCGTGAGAATGAGTCCTAACAGATGGCGCTAGGACAGACACTACCTCTTGGCATTTGAATCTACCTGGTGTCATCACACGACTGTCATCTGATGTGTGATCTAACTTTGCCCCCACAAAAGAATGTTGATTTCCAGTTGTCACATAATCTAGGAACTCACGTCCGTCCCTCTTCTTGCGTGGGGAGACGGCCTTGGAAAACCAAACTAAGATAATTAGGTTGCCTGGACTCAGCGGGGAGCTTGGTTGACTCTCTTCCTCCCGGTGACAGCCACCCGATGAGTCACTGTCCCTCTCCAGACGCAGATCCTCCGAGCGGAACAGACAGTCCGAGCCATCGGCTAAGTGCTTCTTAATCGCCTGGCCCTTCTGCTGACTGGGAAGACAGCATTTTCCTGGCCCCCTAGGCTGACTCACCCCCAAATGACACAATTCCTGGCGCCCACACTGAAGCGCTCCCATCCACTCTGCGATCTCAGAGGCTGAAGACACTTCTAAAACTGCATTTAGTACCTTTTGACACGTGAGGAGACTGAGGCCCACGTGCAGAGTGGCTGCCTCCAGCAGCAGTCGGCCAGAGGCGAGATCTAGGCCCCTCGCCCACCACCCGCACTGTGCTGATCGCCCACACACTCCTTCTTGTCTTCCATCAACATGCCATCTGATGCCAGCTAGGGAGAGACTTCTCTGTGGGGAGAGACAGTCTTTTTTTCTTTTCTTTCTTTCTTTTTTTTTTTTTTTTTTGAGAGGTTTTTGCTATAGGGCGCGTGCGCTCGCCAGACAGACAGAGAGAGACAGAGAGACAGAAAGCGAGAAATCACCCCCCGGGGGGATGGCCACGCCGCAATCCCTTCTCCTCCATTCTTCTCTCGGGATCTTGGGCACACACGCACACGCGCCCGGCATGAGTTTAAGCCACCGGGTTCGGGACTCAAACCGCGGTCGACTACAAGGGAGTCCAGTGACATAGCCATTATGCTAACTGCTGGTCCCAGGGAGAGATGATCTCTACCTTATTTTCTTATCACTCAGGAGACTCAGAGCAGGCCCTGGTAACAGGCGCCAATGGACACCTGGTCTGTTCTGTGGTTGCTGCTTCAAAGTTTCTCCCAGGTTCTCCTCTCTGGTCGTCTTTGGTTGATGTTAACTAACTCAGCTCATTGCTTACCATGAGTTGGTTGCTTACAATTTTTCTTTTTTTTTAGAGTTATTTTATGTAACTTTATTTATTTTTTCAGTTTGACCAGAGAGAGAGAGAAAGTGAGAAAGCAAGTTGTCAGATCTGGGACTCAAACCGTGGTTGGCTATGTGGGAGTCCAGCGCCCTTAACCACCACACTACCTACCGGCCTCTGCTCACAGTTTTTTTTTTTTTGAAGAGGTTTTTGCTATAGGGCGCGAACCACGGTCGACTACGTGGGAGTCCAGCGACATAGCCATTACGCTAACTGCTGGTTCCTTAGGAGCCTAATTTTTCCATCCAGATTCATTTTGCAGCATTTGTCTAGTCTCAAAGTAAAGTATCAGGACATTAGGGGCATTCTAGACGATCCTAATATTTTTTACATACAATTTTTTATTATATAAGCAATGTGTGTCTGTTGCAGAAAAAATAGAAAGCACAGAAAATCACAACCGAGACAAAGGAGGAGGGTCACCCAGCAGAATCCAGCCAGACGGAGATAGACAGGGTTCAAATGGTGCCTGTCCTTGTAAATGCGGATGTAACTTAGAGGTCGTGTCCCGTAAGATTTGGAAAGAGCAGGCCACCGCCAGGACTCTGTCTTGCTACACACAGATCGTGAGCGTGTGGAAGTGCAGAAGGAGTTTCTAAATATTCCCTTCCTGTTCTCACGGACTGGGCTGCAGTTCACACAGGGTCTACTTTGAATGGACTCCCCTCGCTTCCTGTCTCCTTCCCCACTTCAGGATCCCTACTCCCTTCGGGAAACCCATTTTCTTGGAAGCTGCCAAGAACCTTTGCCCATGAGCATCTCTGAGTCCATTCCAGGAGGGGATGGCCACACTCCGATCATTGGAATGCAGCTGGGGTCTGACAGTCCCCGTGTATTATTTTACTAAAAGACCCAGAAACAGAGAAGAGATGGGAAGGACAAATATCTTCATTTTGTTATGGGTATCTTTTTTTGGGGGGGGAGGGGAGGAGGTGGTTTGCCATAAGGTATATGCGGCCCTGACCCAGCCCCATCCCCACCCCAGCCTGAGTACACCTCGGGCACTCAGAGCCCTGCACCTGCTTCACGAGTCACCAAACTCAGCGGAGAATGCTGCCCCACTGGCCACTGGGCCTGAGAACTCATTTCACTGCTATTTTCTAAATGTTCTGGATTCTTCCTGGGAATGTGTATTGAAATAATAATATAATCGGGGCCAGCAGGTGGCATGGTGGTTAAGGGCACTGGACTCCCACATGGTTGACCACAGTTCAAATCCTGAAACTGGCAGCTTCCTTTCTCATTTGTTCTTTCTCTCTCTCTCTCTCTCTCTCTCTCTCTCTCTCTCCCTCTCTCCCTCTCCCTTTCCCTCTCTGGTCACATTAAAGTAAATAGATAACTATGGGACCAGCAGTTGGCGTAATGTCTATGTCACTGGACTCCCATGTAGTCAACGACGGTTCTAGTCCCAAACTCAGTGGCTTAAACTCACTCCGGGCACGTGTGTGTGCGTGCCCAAGATCCTGAGGGAATGGAGGAGAAGGGATGGCGGCATGGCCATCCCCCTGGGGGGTGATTTCTCACTTTATGTCTCTCTGTCTCTGTCTTTCTGGTGAGTGCACGCGCCCTATAGCAAAAACCCCTTCAAAAAAAAAAAAAAAAACGAGTGTAGGACCAACTCCGGAGTCAGAACTTCTCGGCTGCCAGTGCAGCCAGCCTCTTCAGAACTGTGTAGTTTGGCCAGATTACTTAACCTCTCTGTGCTCCATTTCTTTACAAAATAAGAGATAATTATTATGACAGAGCCTACCTCTTAGGGTTGTTTTGAGGACTAAACTGTGAAATTGTAAAAAGAGCACTAGACCATAACAAGCATTAACTATGTGGCAGTTACAGGGGGAGCAAATGTACTTCAGTTGCTAAAAAAAGAATACTAAGCACAAAATCTGTAGCCAGAATTTCGGTATTTATTTAACTCTCCTTCTTGCTTCTCCCTCCTCCCATTTTTCCTTCCTCTTATCTTCGCTGGTGCTCATTCTCTTCCCCCATCCCAATTTCTCGACAGACCTGGTTAGACAATAATTGTTTTATTTGAGTTTTAATTTGCTAAAGTGTGTGCACTCGCTGTGGAGAAACAGAGAAACCACCCCCCTCCCCATGGGGGGTAGCCACACTGCAATCCCTTCTCCATCCTCCTCTAGGGATTTTGAGCGTGCATACACATGCAACTCCACATGTTCTTCAAGACACGGAGTTAGAGAC